CGTGGCTGAGGAAAATCATGACCGTTTGCTTTTGATAATTCGATTTATAGTTTTTCTATCTTCACAGAAACTTGAAGATAACAGAATCTCTTCTCTACTTCATTTAACTGAAATATGTATAAACAAGGTGTATATAAGTAGTTATTTGGATTGAATTTAAAACTTCTAATTTATTGAAATTTGGACATTTAGGGCCACACGTCGTGTGCAATTCGAGAAATGAGTCTGACTGTGTACAACATCGGAGAGAGCGAGAGATTGGCATGTCAGATTCTACTGAATACGAAAATGTGATCTGAACCCTAAATTCTTGATGGCTCAAAGAGTTCTTCTCCGTTGCAATCCGCATTTCAGTACCGTGGAAGTTGGCGCCGTATTCCAGTTGTGGCAGGTTCGAATCTCTGTCGGAACAGTTACTACCCTGACTGATTTTCCGTGGTTTCTCTCAGTATCTCCATACGAACCCTGGGATAATGTATAATGTCTTCAAATAGGCAACGGTCACCTCCTACCTACGAAGACAGCGAGTAATAAGACAACTGTCTTATAGGATGTTGCTTCGTGAAGTCGCGCTGATGATGGAGGCACTAAGTACATGTGAAACATCCGTGAACATTTGACAAACTACACAGCGCATTCTACAAGACAGTCGTCTTCAACCTGCGAGCCGACCATGAATCGCGTTCCTCACTACATCTCGCCGGTTCATTTTATTGGAAAACGAATTGCATATCGTACCGCGCTGTGTTGATTTAGTGCGTATGTGTATTTGCCGTGCGAACAAAAAGGGGCCACGAATTAATTACCTGTTGGAATGATTTGCAACCCGTATCTCCCCTCAGGGCAACAAAACAAACCTCAAATTATCGGAAACACAAATCGATATATAAATCGCACATCATTTCCAGGCGCAATTAATTATCCGAGATGTATATCAGCAAACATGACATCATTAGAACAATTCTTTTCATCGTCATTTTGAAATTGGAGCATATTAGGACCGTACCCATTGAACCCCTGCCCCGATTAATTAGGGAAAGGCATTCTTCGAAACGGTAACATAGCATATTATTAATTTAACATCTGTTACGTGTAACGCGAATGACGTAACTGTACTTTAAAATTCCAAAATTTCTCATCGTTTGCCATCCACATTTTAGTAGATGTGGTTGATTGTGTTTCGTTTGTGTTCATTTTGAATTTCCGTATCGTATAAACAGGAATTCTGGACACCAACCTCTGTAAATACGAACTTTTCAGAAATATTACGTACTTTTTCCTTTTGAATAGGAGAAGCGAGATTTGTTAATTAATACAAATTAACAACTAACAGTATCATACATATATTTATTCTACAAGTCTATACACAAACCATTTTAATATATATCATAGAGTCTATGAACTGACATTCACCTGATCAGACCTGACAAGACGAGGACACACGACACATCAAACTCCTGAAATAATGAACAAATAACATAATACGCCACATAATATGCAAAAGAATCAGAAGATTAAAGGAACATCCACAACTACAACCTACAATCTACAATTAGTGAAAAGCGTGCATTAAAAAATATAGAATAGTTTTAAAAAATAAAAACCTGAAGATGATGCTGAGACATCGAAACATGTTGTAATATATAGCGCAAAATTGTAACATCGAGGAAACGATGAATAGCGCAAAATATTTATATCAATTTTAATTTTTAACATCAATATTAAAATGGTTTGTGTATAGACTTGAAGAATAAATATATGTATGAATTGAAAACACAAACATGACGCATCTAAACTATAAACTAACAGTATGCGTAGTTGGCCTGACTCAACACTTCAGGCGTTGAAGAACGTAATTGAAATAGTGAGGTTTCAAGTTTTCACAGCTGTGAGTAATATCCTTACAATTTAAATAGATTTGTAAATGTTAACGTTATTGAAATTTATTTGCGGTTCGCATTGAAAAATGGCCCGCACAACTCACTGTCTTCAATAGAGATCTAGACCCCTCTTGTTTGGACACAAAGAACGTTGTCATGGTGACCCAGTTTACCCGATAACCGCCGTCTGGTGACCTCCGTGGCAGTGGAAATGAACCCATTGTTCCACCGTCGAGTTCAAAACACTTTCATAAGTAGCTTGGGATTGTGAACATTAGCTTATTTGATAAAATGCTTTCGTGTTGGTCCCCACTACAGGTAGCTGCTTAACCCCCGCCACAGTATTCAAATGTAAGTTCTTCCACGTTATTGCTGCGAGAAACCTGTTGATCTGTCCGCTTTGTTAAAGAAGATATTTGGACCCAGGAGACAGATGTAAGTGGGGAAGTGAAATTGTTACTTTGGTTTGTAGTTCCGTTGTCGGGATCTGTTGGGAACTTCCTCGTATTGGAATTGTGCTGATGCCTTCACATAAAGAGCAATGAATCCTGGAAGTGAAGTTAATAAAACGTTTGAAGGTGACTTTTCTGTGATGTTGTTCCTTGATAACCTGAAATATTACTCACTAAGAATTTTTTTTTTCATTTGTGCTCCGACGAATTTAAGTAGGTTTAAATAGAGAAATAACGAACACAATATTGAGCTTATTAAAATTGTATTCGTCTTTAAAATAAAGGGAGGATTGACTAGACATATAACACTTTTGCAAACAAGTACGTAAACATTTTGTGTTGTAGGCTGTCGAGGAAGAAACATGTGGTAGACGTAGGCACATGTGAGGATAATATTAAAATAGATCTTGTATGAATCGGTTGTGAAAATTGAACTGGCTTGATTCTATGATAATGGTTGTGTAACAGTTTTAGATCAACTGAATGTCTTCTGCTCAAGGAAGACCAAGCATAGATATCCATGGTACTCAGGACACTTAGGTATTTTGTGTGACTGTTTTTGAGTCGCTGTGCAGTTACAAAACACGAATCAGTGAGCCCACTTTACTAAATTGCGTTTCTGAGTTCCACATTTGAAAAGTTGTTGACACAAACACACAGCGTCTGAGGAATTTTGTAGCAAGCGAGGATGATTTCGGTATGATAAACGCACATGTTCATCCAATATACATGCTCTGGCAACGTAAACAGACCAGCTCATGGCGTCAGATTCTCTCCATGCGAGGAATGTAATGTTTCACTGTTGTATCTCGTATAATATGAACCATAGCAACAAAAATGTGATGTTTTCAGAGTGAAAAAATGTTTTTTCACGGTTACTATATACGGAATATAACCCCCACCCACCCCGACCGCTCGTTTTTGTTTTGAAAAGTTTCAGGAATTGTTAAAATTAAATGCGATGCTGTTTTTAAAACACACAGAGGTATACATATGCCCCTAGGTAGGGGTGTCCAGCTCTCTTGATTACGAATCGTGGAATTGAAAGTCCTGTTCGATTCCTAACCTCTATCAAGTAGTACGTATCTTACTGGCCTTTGACTTCTGTACATTTTTTGAACCTCCAGAAATACTCACATGATTTGACAGGTTTTTAAATTTTATTTATTTATTTTTATAGTTGACGTAAATTTGTCTTCTCTCCTTCTAACTAAATACGCAATTAAAAAGTTTGTGTAATTTTAATAGCTTTTTTGCATGGGTATGTAACTTGGTACCTGGCAGAACAGAGATTAAGGGTACTAGAGAACAGGGTGTTGAGGTAAATGATTTAGATAAGCGTTTCTCAATCTATGGTACACGTACCATTGGTGGTACGCGAACTAAGTAAGAAAATCAAAAGATAATATTAAAATAAATAAGTTTTCCCTGAACGCATTTGGTTGGTTGTACATTTAATGTGTTAAATTAGAATTATTGGTACGCCAGCGATAAAGAATGAGAACCTCTGGTTTAGATGAAGGTAGATTTTCACAGATGTGTAGGAAAAAGCGATATCGAGTTCGCGTGTACACGATACATCGACTTTTATCGAAGCGGTTAACATTTCGTTCGTGGTTATGTTGAGAATTACGTTTATCTGTGTGTTGGTTTCTAGAATGATTACGAAAATAACTTTTTTACTTGCTACTTGCAGGACGTAATGGTGATATGAGACTAACTGATGACCGAGAAATGTCGGGTGATGACGTGGCTGGGTTGTGGACAGGCTATCATAATGCTTTGGGACTCAAGAAGTCCACACCTCCCGGTGCCAGAGAACAGTCGGTAAGTATGGGGACTATTTTCTGTAATGTTGCGCCATACAGTCTGGTAGTTTATCAGTGTTTCAGAGTCACTTACTGATTCCATTATTATTGAATTATTTTTGTATATTGGCATGCGTTTTAGTGTTTTAAAATGTAGAATTATAGTTCACGTCATTACCATGGGCCATGATTGATCAATTATCCTAAGTTTAGTTGAAATCAGACTATTTGTCCCCAGTGTATGAGCATACAGATTTTTTTTTTAATATTCTATGAAATTCCAGAGCCCTCTGCTATTAACCCAGGAGACATGTTCAGTCCATGACGAAACTTCATCAAGCGGTAACAAAGAGGATGAAGATGATGATGAAGACGAAGGGGAGGACAAGATTGATCCACATCAGTACGATCCAGAGCGTCTCAAGGCCTTCAATGTTAGTTATATTGACAACTTTGCGAATTAGTGTTTATTTTGTCGGGCAGAACTAAGTGAGGTTAGGTTAGCTTTAAATTATGAACACAAATTAAATGAAACTACTCACAAGTATTTTGGGCAAAGGCTGTGCTGCTAGATGCTGGCTTATCACTGCAGAGACATTGGTTCAAACCTGGGCGATTTAAAGTGAGATCCGTTGTGGACGAAGTGGCGCTGGAATAGCTTTTCCTGTAGTAATCGTCATTCCACTGTTATTTCGTACTCGTGTTTGGCTGGACATAGAGAGTAAAGGTAGCTTATTTTTAACAAACAGCGTCATTTTTATGAGTTGTAAAGGTGGATTAATTATGGGTGAGAATGTTGTGACGTTTATTTTGTGATTATTGGAAGCGGGAAGAGCAGGTAATTTTTTTTGTTTGCAATTGTTATACATGTCAAGAATATGCCAGTACGTATTCACAGAGATTCAGCATTTGCGGTCCGATACATTTTGTTTTTGTGTTTGTTATTAGATGTTTGTTCGGCTGTTTGTGGACGAAAACCTGGATCGCATCGTGCCAATCTCAAAACAGCCGAAGGAGAAGATCCAGGCAATTATCGACTCGTGTACTCGACAGTTTCCAGAGTTTGCGGAGAGAGCACGCAAGCGAATTAGGACCTACCTCAAATCGTGTCGTAGAAACAAGAGGTCCAGGGAGACCAATGGAGCCTGGGATGCTGTAAGGACTGTGAGGACCCAAACCTAACCTAACCTAAACTGTCAGATTCTGTCCTACAATAGCCAACCAGTGGAAAAATACTGTCCTCAAAAATAAAAAAAATTCCCACTCATCTCTTATTATAAACTTTTTTTTAAAAGACGGTTGGTCACAATTTTAATATAGTTTTCGTGTTCATTTATTTTAATGTATGACACACCACCAGGTCCAATTTATTTGGTTTAGAATTAAAATGTGGTGGACTCAGTCTGACATTGAAGTGGGATATTATTTTCCGAATGTCGCAACGTATCAGAAGGCACGGTTCTTAGAAATTCGTAAGTGGGTGCTCTTCTGTGGGACCTCAGCACACTAAATATTTATCTTGCTCTGTTCCTGTGAAATTATGGGTGTTTCCACCCGGCCGGATTGGTCTTCATCCAAATTTTCTCATGCAAATTCGGTGTCTTCCATTTTTTTTCGTGTCAAATACACACCATTCATTGGTGGTTAGGAGGATTCACGACCGTCAGTACATGGGTTCGACCGGGACTCATTTAATGACTCACGTGGGCTCAAATTGTTGATGAATGGATTACGCGTGGAAGAATATTATTTATGTATGAGGTTTCTTAATAACAAAATGAAGAGATTGAGTTCTGGAAATGTTTATGAATTTAAATTCACTTATTCTAAAAGCACGTTAAAGCACGTCCATTAAAAAATATTTGTAGTGGACCATAAAATGGCATTTTTGTTGCCTTGTCCACCTCTCGCAAAATGAAAGAGCTACGTAAATCTGTTTGCCGACACTTCAATTTTTAATGCACTTTGTTTATCTTCATTTCTAATCGCCAGGATACTTCTTTTCATAGTATAAGGAGAAAAAACACAGTTTTTCTGTGCGCAAATCTTTGATCTCGTGTGACGTGTTTTGTCGGCACAGACACGGCCCACGCCGGCGCATCTTACTTCAGTTCAGGCAGAGCAGATTCTGGCTCAAGCCTGCGAGAATGAGAGCCACAATGCCAAGAGGATGCGACTTGGTCTTGAACCCGTCAGCCAGCCACTGCCTCTTCTACCATCCACCGCTGTAAGTACAGGAGTCGAGGAGTCGATGTAAATGTGTTCAGCGTATTGTAACTAATAATCCGTGGCGTAACAGCCCTCTGAGAGTCAAAGCCGACTAGCTTGACTGCTGGCCTCACGTTCACATGCCCAAGCAGAGGTGAACGATCATCCAACCAGATATAGGGTGATGTGTGGTTAGCACGACGAACCCCCAGCCATTGCTAGTTTCCATGACTGGATTACGCTACCCATTCTACCTCCCCATTCCTCACGATGCTGGGTTGGCACCGGTCGAAAATCTCATGAGAAAATTTCTTCTCCGCCGAGACTCGAACCAGCGCGCATTCCGTATCACCGGTCCGAAGCACGATGCCTCAGACTGCGCGGCTACGGCGCAGGACACACATTTGTAACTACTTGTATAAAATTCTTGCCACTTTACTGACTGAATTACCAGACTTCTTTTCTCGTAATTAAAAGAGCTCTTCTTCTTCTTCTTCGTCCGTACTTGTATATTTTGGCTTGTGCGTGATGTGAACACATAATAGGGGTATCATGTCTATCCATCATTCTACATATTTTATCTCCTAAACCGTGTAATGAATATAATTGTTTAATGATGTGAGAAGCCTCACAAAATTTGTATGGGAAAATTTATGTTGATCGGTTGTCAGTTTATTATAACCCTACTTTACATATTTATAACATTTCTGGTTGTGTTTTGTCGAAACTACCGCCTCTGTTATTTTGTTGTAAAGGACTGAATACGTTTATTTCTATCATTTAGACTGATAGTCGGCCGTCATCCATGGACCACTACTCATCTCCTGTCGTGGTGGCCAGTGACGCATCAACTAAGCCTACTCTGTCTACAACCGCCGCTCCCACCATCAAGTCTGAGCCGCCACCGCTGCACCCTGTAGATACAGGTTTATCGCCGGCTTTCAACCCCGCTGCTTCTGTGGGCGTCAAGAATGCGGTGTCTTCCATCGATGCGATGGTACGTTCATTGTCGAGTAATGCCATATTTTGGCTGCCACTGGCGTCAACTGAATTATACACTTCTCCTCGCAAGAAATCCAGCGACTAGGATGAAGTTATGGTTGATAATATATTGCGTAAGGTCTTCGGCAACTGGTGCCAAAAGGTTTAATAGACCTCTGTCGTGTGATTGCAGACCAAAAGCGTGAACACGACAGCTTCAGTTGGAACAGCGGTCAATGGGAATACTACGTCGTCTGCCGCCGCACCTACGGCTCTGTACAGACCCAACTTCAGCCAGGCATTTCAGCGCGCTGCTGCTACTGGACCTTACACTAATCCGTTGTTCCCTACCCCCCCATTTGGTTCCGGCAGTATGATAAGCAACGGTGAGCATAATAATGACGCAAGCTTGTACATACACTGGGATACTGGGAAAGACCCGTTGTTCAAGTGCCTGAGCACTGCGGGTCGCAACTTTTTGTTAGCTTGATCTTATGGACATTCGGTAGGACTCCTTGGACGAGGGATCGGCCCGTCGCAAGGCCTCTACCTGTACACAGGACAGCACAACACAGAAAAACGTGGACAAACATCCATGGCGTGAGTGGGATTCGAACCCACGGTCCCAGTGACCACGCGGCCACTGCGGACCCCTTGTACATATACTGAATTTACTATTTAATATCGTAAACCAATGAAAATAATTCATGATTAAACTGAAGACAATCAAAATGGTTAGTGCATCTTGTTTGATGTTGTTCTGTAGGATTCTTTGCATAAAGACACAGAGAATTCAGTGTTAGAACCTTTTTAATTTTATCGACTGTAAGAAAGTGAGCCGACGTAGCTCAGTCGGTATAGTGACTGGCTACGGGCTGGGCGGCTGGGGTTTGATCCCCGACAGGGGCAGAGGATTTTTCCTCTAGCCTCTGCATCCAGACCGGCTCTGGGCCCCACCCAGCCTCCTGTCCAATGGGTTCCGGGTTCGATTCCTGGCGGTGCTCAGGTTTACAACTTGTGTCGGGCAAGGCCAAGGTCCAGGCATCACGGGGTTTTCCTCCGTGGCATCCCAACAATTACTCCACTTTCGTCATCATCTCGCAAAAAGGGGGTCACAGCAGGAGTGTTAAATGTCGTGGTCCCGATCGAACCCATGTACTGATGGGTCGTGAATCCTGCTAACCACCAATGAATGGTGTGTACTGAAGGGGGAAAGAAAAATAGTTTGAATATATTCAGATGTGAGGATTCGCTGAATGTGTAAGTCTGCTAAATATAAAAAGAAATTAGCCTTTCTATAGAGATTTTTGTAGAAATCTGACAAAGAGTTTAGGTGTTGAAAGATGCAAGAAACAGACTTGGCTTTCCTGAAAGACTCGTCAATTTTGTCCTTACATAAAGACGTGAAAATTGACGCTTGATTCAATACACTTTTGCAGCAAAATGGTTTGTTATAGATACTGTCACTTTATTTCAAATTAAACCCTGATTTTCTTTCTTCCCCTTTACAGGGCCGACAGATCTCAGCATGAAAACAAAACCTCTACTAAGCCACAAATTGAACACGGCTGAGATGGCAGCAGTGCGGCAACTTATAACAGGTTACCGCGAGTCAGCTGCTTTCTTGCTGCGCTCTGCTGATGAGCTTGAACAACTTCTTCTTCAACAGCAGTAAGCACTTGCAATCTGACAACTGTTTAAATGTTGTAAAGCGTTGCGTAACGCGCTTAAACAGCAGCAAATACTGAAACTGTGAAGGTAAATACTTAGTGACGTTGAAATTCATTTCCCCGCACACACATTGAGGTGTTCTTTATCACTTTGATATTTTCTTTGTGATTTTTCTGCCGAAGTAAAGAGACCGCAAATTGACGACCGAATTTATTCCTGTTACTAGTGACAAAAACAGGTATTTGGCTGTCAGATATTCTTCTGCATACTTGGACTGTTGTGGTATTGCGTTATCTGCAGCGTATGAACTATATGAGAGGCCCCCATAAAGCATGCCATGTTAAAAAATGCAGAATTACTTCGTAAAGTGCGTTCATAAGCGTGCTTGAAAGGTGATTGGTGAATCACGTGTTTTTGGCTTCACAGACAGTGCGATGAAGCGTATTTATTCAGTTGAATGACAGGATTTGATGCTGTTGCAGAATTGCAATTGTAGTAGCTGAATAAATGTTGATGTACTAAAGCAGAAGAGGTGTTACGTGAATGTAGATGATGCAAGTCTCAAAACATAACGGTTCATCATTTATGTGTGCGAACTGTGATGAGCAGGTGATGCTAACTCTTCTTACTTATTGGCAGTCGACCTCGTTCTAACCTGTAATTCTAGAATAATTTCAATTATAATTACAAGGAGAACATTTTTCTTATAAAACAAAAAATGTGTTATTTTGATTCCATGACATTTTAGAAAAAAAATGTGTCACCTACAGAAAGACTATAAATTTCTACTCTTAAGTTTTGTGTTTGTCTCGTGTTATCTTATTTTAAATTTTACTTCACTTTAATAGTGGGAGATAAAAGTACTGCACCAGCAACTTGTTCCTTGTTTTTTTTTTATATATACTTTACAATGGATTGAAGACATTTTCACTGTTCCTTTAAATGTTGCATTCAAGCTGTGGATCCAAGAGGAGACTGCACAAAGTATTCCTATGTAAAGTTTGAGTGGATAAAGCCTTTAGAAGAGCAAATTTATTTTCACGGTAGAATAGTAAACTGGAGTCGCTACTGGACACGTCATGATGTGAACCAAGATCCGAGTAAAAGCCTCGTGTAATAGAGCTTGTAACTTGATTTCAGTTTACCTGTGATCATGTAAGCCCTATGAGATTTCATGTTTCTTTATATCGATGAATTAAATTTTATTGGTAAAGTCGAGGGTGAAAACTAAATACATAAAATGTAACCGACGAATTATATATCAGTAGAAAATTTAACATTTATAAATATATATAAATCTAAAACAAATTAAAAATAAATATATCTATATTTCAAATTGTATTTTTCCTCCTCTCAATTTTGTGTTGAAATGTGTAATTTTTGTAGTGGAAGTTGATCGTACCAAAGAGGATGTACATAATTATTAATTATTAGCAGTGTTTTATAATTGGACCACATCTGTCATTCTGTCTGTATATCTCTGTCGATGTACTATGGTTCGTGTTCATTTTTTAAGATGATTGGTTATTCACAGATTATATATATAGTATATACATAACCTAGTTTTCAAAATACGGGACAGTTTTCTGGTTTACAAGGTACGCACGCAAGGGATAAATTACAATGGAGTGTGTGTCCAGTGCAGTTATTGAAGCCTGGAGTTTATTTTCTGGTTTACAAGGTGTAAAAATTGAGTTTAAACAAAACTATAGAAAAGTGTAATTTACTTATAACCAAAGACGAACACTTATCAGTGCTTCGGTCACGATACATGATAACTAGCTTCAAAGATGTAGCAATGGGTGCTGTTGGATAGACGTAATGGAAATGGCTTTTGAATTATGTGTTTATTAAACGGAATCTTCACCTTAGGATAACTCAATACGATCTGCACTGGATTATTATAAATGTTATTATTACATTAATATTTATCCGAAGCCCTTATTGTCAGATCCTATGGACAGTTTTTACATGTTATTTTTGAATGTCATTGTTAAAAAAAATTTCAAATTATTGTATTACTATCATCCTGTACTTTCTGATTGTACTTAGAATTACCAGAGTTTTCAACACGAGTGGAAATTAAAATCCAACGTACACAGTTTACGTGTTAAAAATATGATTGAATGAATTTAACATTTTATCAAAAATTCTGCTGGTGCCTGAGTGAACGTGTAAAACAAGAATTGTTTTAAAACCCAGTTTGATGTTGGTGTTCCAGCAAAATTAACTGCGGCTATTACGTGTAATTTAGGTAACTGACGTTCAGTGACGCTGAATTATCGTCACGACAAAGTGCTCTTCTGATGCAGCGCTGTTCTCAAGCAAATGCCGCACAAGTTGTCTCCCTAAGAAAATGCATTGAAACGTGAATTTGGAATAGTAGAAAACTTTTTCTCGCATCAAAGATTAATTGTATTAAACATTGAAATGGTTATTTTTATGTGGTAATTTTTTGCTGTTAAATTTTTTTTAATGCTGGAGTGGAAAGCGATACACGTTTTAAAAAATGAGTTCCTGTTAGTAAATATACGTGTTGGTAGATCTGTACTTGTTTTTGTATTTGTTGACAACATTTTAATTGTGTGTGTGTGGTTAGGTCATATGATTTATGTAGTTACTTCATTTCAGTACAGCTTTGTGCATAATTTTGCTCGTTTTCATCATAGCATTTGATACAACATTTGTGATAAGCCATAGAATTTTAATATTATCCTAAAGTATGAAAACAGGCTTTTGTGTACTATTTATGCCATAATGCAATAGCCCGACACCAACTCGACGACCATTTGCTCCGTAAACCTATAGTTATTAATAATTGTAGGTTGTAGATTCGGAATCTTACCCTCTCCTGGCCGACATCCCTTCATCAGGAGCTAGCTCTTTGTTGGAGGAGGGGGTTATGTGATCGAAAATTTATCAGCTGTTCTCTGAGCGTGCATAATACTGTCATCAGTGATGTGAAGAAATGATAAAATATTCTTATAATGATTCTGGGACGTAGCTTTCAGAAATATATAAGTTTCAAAAATGATTTTATTGGTTCAGTTAAGTTTGAGACTAGATTTTTCTATTATTCGCATCACAAATATCGGTTTTCGTTGCTGGCATCGTTACTGGAATCTGCGTCTGAACAAATTCATGTTTTTGGTGTGAGCAGTACAAATAACTTGACAGGCTTACAAGTTCATTTGATCACACACACATATTCAGAAAAAAAACCTTTTATAATAAATGTTTTCGCAATTGACAACACGTCGGTGTGTTGAATGTCTGCGTCAAGCCCTAAGTTAGCTGTAAATTGGGGGAAGAGGTGGCGATAATTTGTTGATATTTTGTGTGTTGCGTCCACTGAAATGCCGCTGATAATGATAATTTCAGGGAAATCAAATTTTGAAATTAAATAATGTTTGGAATCTTCATTGAACCGTGCACCAGTTATGTTATCGGAAATGTCGTCTTTACTTGCCATAGTGGGATTTTTGTTCATGACACATATAACGTCAAAATACGAGTTTATTGAAACAACAGATAATAGTGACGGGGGAGAACCATGAAACACAGGATCATGGCTATGGAAATATTGATACATCTGCTGTGATCCCACGATGAACTGCGTGGTGACGATGATGCTCGATGTAATCTTTGAGTGAAAAGTTTTCATTCACATCCTGCTATTGCGGGATTCTTATATAGGATTTCGGGTTCTCGTAGCGGTGGGTATGAAGACGGTTTTCTTCTGGGTTGTAGTTCCGTGTTGTCTGGTAGACGCTTACCAGTGTTTCAGAGGTCCTCGCTGCCTTCGTCATCAGGGCGATGATGTTGGTGGTAACAGTCACCTCTGCAGCTGTAAATAGTGTACATGAAATTCATATTCATGATTGAAAGTGGCCTTAGGTAAGACATCGGTTCTATTGCAAGCAACATTAGCGTTGCTTAACTTCCTATTTCTCTTTAAATCAAATACCCCACTAAGGCACAGTAAATTAATTATGGAATGGTTTTATTTATTGTGTAATGGATTGGATTAAATTATCAAATTAGGTCGCAAATGTGACTGTAACAGGAAGGCATCAAGGATAATTTATATTCTTGTTTTATTAGCCGTCATCCTTTTCACCCCAGCTGTACTGAAAGATACTTTTATCGATGATAAATAATGAGAATAAATTACGAATTTAGTAAGCAATTTCTAGGCAACGCTTCAACTTGAGCTATATTTATAATACTTTTTTGTCTCCTTAAAAGAGAAACTCTTAAGAAACTGGAGTGTCTTCATAGTAAAGTATTCTTAGTTTTAAGAGCACGGACGTACAATTAAATATTACAAGACAAAAATAATTGAATTGATTCTAGGGTTTAATAAGTAATTCCTTAAGTCACATAATTGAAAGTAATTAGAATATGAAAATTGCTCAATTTGAAGTTGCTTGAAAAATTGTTTGCATACTGGTTATTCGATTTAAAGTTAAAAAGCAAGTTTCATTACCTCAGGACGTAAGATTAAACATTATTCAGGCCTTAAATGCATTTCGAAATTAATGTCGTACTGTTTCACAAAGGCAGAAAATGTGGAATTTACATAGAGCAAACACCGTTACTTGCGTAGTGTGTTTGGTCAATTTTCTGAGAGAGTGAAACTATAATGTTGCTGTTTCCTTTTGTAGGTGACGTAAATGTGAAGTCTATAGATCTTTCTTATGACCTTGTCATGTGATCAAAATCATTTTTAATATATCTGACAGACATCAATGTAACTTCGATCTACAGTAGTTTTTACCCGATTTCTTCCCCCTTTAATGCTCATCCTGTAGTTACATAACTTGTGTAAACATTTTCAGCGTATCTTTCTTCCACGTGTTAACCATGTTGATCGTCCTAATCTGGACTTTATTCATGATCCATCGCCATGTTATTTGTAATAAATTTTCCTTTTCTGTATTTGAGCACATTTGTGCTGGTTCGACCAAGATTTGCTTGTGTTCTGCTTTAACGACCCTAAAATATGCAGAATGGAATGAAATATTACCAGTTAGATATCAATTGAAAGTGCAGATTATAATTTGTATCAAAGAATACATTTCTGAGAATTGTTTTTTTATTTCAGAGAAATTTAACAAGAGCGGAAAGATTTATTATTTGGAGTACGCTAACATTTCAAAGGTGTTTATCGTGCCACATTGTGTCACTGTTGCACTAATGCAGTCCTAACCCTTTTTTTGTGTCTTTATTTCTTTCACTGTGACCCCAGGTAATTATTGTGCAAGTCTCTTCCAGCATTGTTCTAATGTCATTTATGTATAACATGAACCCTTTGATCCTATTGTTGCACACCAAGGGGTTGCAACAATGGGACTTTTTCCTGCCATTCCTGCAAGAAATGTGACAGACGTGTATTGGACCATAAGGTGTTATTTACTCTCACTAGAGTGTAAAGTACGCATAAAAATTAGAATTTGGTTTAGGTATTCCATACAGATTAAAAATTGTATTAGATAATTTTCAAATATTTTTTCTGTTTTTTTTTTAAAAAAAAAAGTTCCGTTTTGGTGAAGATACTTGAATTTACATTTTCAAAATTGCTGTTTCCAATGTTATGAATGTGTAAAGCATTTCAATTACTGTTACTATAGGTCATTTTTCATATACACTTAGCAGCAGTGACTCATCGAAACAGGAAAATAATATTTGTACCCATACTGAACTTCTCTGACACTGGGGGTCATAACTTCTTCCTCATAACCTTTGCAGAAGTACAAACTAAACAGTTTTAATTCATTATTCCACATGTACCTAGCTGTAGGAAATTTTATTCTTAAAGTTTTGTCCAGTAAAGCAAACCTGAATATATGTTCATTATTGTGTATTGCATGCCCCCCCCCCCTTTTTCAAGCAAAAACATCGTGGCAGTATTTGTAACAATTTAATTATAATATCATAATCCTGTAAAACGTCATAATTTACGAACTGTTGTCATGTTGAGCTCGGATAAGGACAAAAACAAGCATGTTTTGAATTAGCGTACGTAAAAATCGAGTGCTAATTTTGAAATGCCAGTGTTGCTATCATCATATTTGCTCAAAGCGATGCTAAACTGAAAGAATGGGATGGTAGACAGTTATTTGTTTGTAACACTTCCTCACACATGCTTGTAGTCAATGCTGTGTGCAAGATTTTGTTTTGGTACTGAACTTGTTTGTTCTAACTTCTCCATATGTTGTATTTCTTTTATTTTAAATTTGCACAACAACTGTAACACTGCCAGTAGAAACAATGCAGAAATAAATGTTATAATTAAAATATCAGTTTTTCCCCTTGTTTCTGTAAGTAAAGAAATTGGTTTGACAATCGCAGGTTGTCAGCTACTGTTTTTTCATTCATCTGGAGAGCCTGAAGAAAACCATGAACAAATGGCACAGTTTGTGGTTGTGTTGCTGTGTGTGCTCTTAGAGGAAAGTATTGCCTTCACTTTCAGGGTTCAACCCAGTTGGCGTCTACACTACCACGAGAAGCTCTAACCTCAAAGGATAATCATATTACACATCAACTAGTTAATTAGATAGCATTGTTATGCTGTCAATAAACAATCCAATTTTAGTTGAAATTGGACAACAACGGGCAATCTACACGAAGACGGCGCCCTTTTTTCTCGCCGAAGTGACGATATGAAATTTGCCGGATAATTCTCCGGCCATTCACAAAGGTGCCGGTATAGTTACGTTGTGTGCGTGTTTTGTAACTTGTTTTATATAAAATATTGATCAGCCAGTACAAAGCGCTTCATGAAAAGGCATGAAGTAAGGAAGTATGGAATTGTGTGAAAGGTTCGAGGTACTTTAATATTTCTTAGAACGTGTGTTGATACCGTTCCAGGGCATAAGACGATTTTGAGGATGATGTCTGTGCTAAAGGAACGCGCTGCGATAGTGTTTAGATTGTTTGATCAACACGGGATATGACGCCATTCATGGTGACGGAACCTGTATGTCCAGTTCCTCACCAACGTTTTTAAAAGTTGTTCGTCCATTGTCTATATTGTTAAGTCTGTTGCTTCATACATGTTAATTAATGTGAGACTGATATTTATTTAATGTGCGCCATCGTTACAAATTCAATCCCTGATACGCTTGTGCTGCTGTAATAATGTGTTCTGCAGGAACTTTGGTATCTTACAGATTAAATTTCGCTCACATACGTTTTTATTCCTGGTGGCTAATTATTTCAGTTTAATTGCTGTTCTGTCCAGAACCTTAGACCTTATTTGGTAAATTTAGCAGTATCTCTTGTATTTGTTCTGAATTATCCCTTTTTCATAGCTGTCTTGTGCTCGCTTGCAACTAGCATTCTTGCTGTTACGAAGTGATTTATAATTTCTTTGCTTTTTACGATGTTGGATCAGCTTGCTACTGGTCAAAGGCTTTCTTAAACACCAAATAAATATGCAATTGGTAAGAGTTGAGGGAAATTTTCTTCTATTGACCTTGAGGGCAAGTTCATATTACTAGGAACGAAAGTGACCTTTTATGACATCACCGGTACTGTGATGTTTGACAGGTGGTAGCGGTGGCGGCGCATGCGTAGTGAGTTTCACTATTGGACTGAGCGGTCCAGTTGGTCTTCTAGAAACACGTTGTGCATGGCTGGTAGAAGGAGTGGTATACGATGATTCTCGCATGCAGTCGTGCAGAAATTGACGGAAATGTTTTGTGCGCAGTGGTAAAATTGAGTAATAATGTGATGTGATATCGTTGATAGTGAGTGTTAATTATACTGAAAGGATTTCTTATTTGTGTCATTACTACATTGTGGTAAGTGTTGCAGTTCGTTGTACATTAAACCAACATAAACGTAAATGTGAATCACGCACAGTGAGCAGACATTCAGGCACTACTTTGCCAATTTATTATTAGTTTCAGAACATTTGTTCCATTTCAGAGCTCTTTGCATACATTTTGCTATTATCCTTAATGATAATGAATGTGAATAATGGTTTAACATGTTTTTTCCCCCTTAAATTAAAATGCCATGACGTGATGAATTCCAGTAACCTATGATACTGTATTGGGCATTATAATAAAGGTATAGAGTTTCGTAAAATATTTATAGTAGCAGTAATTATTACAACAGCGATAGTAACAATTATGCTAACACAACATGGGAAATAGTTATAATAGAAATGAGTTCACTTTCCAGATCTTGAAGTGTCGAGGTAATAATAAGGGTTGATTGTCGCACACTAATGGAGGTCTGTTAAAATTAATTTTGTGATGTGCCTGGCAACAGCAAACTCTGAAAGGGATTCAAAATATGTATTTTAGTGACACTAGCGTCTGGGACACACTAGGCGTGTAGGTTGCCATTAAGTATGGAATCCGTCATTTCGTAGAATGCTTAAGTTCCCATATTTCATACTTAATTCAACGCTGCAGTTATAGTATGTAATCAGACATTTATACGTACACTTTAACCAGGTAATACGTATAATAACTAATCGAAAGCTGGTAATGCGTGCAATGGAATTATGGTTCTTAATTAGTGACGTAAAGTGTGTAAGTCCATAGCTAACTATGCCCAGGTTAGCTTATTATTTTAACCCTGCTTGAGCTGTAAGATTTGTTATGAGATTTAATTAATCTAACTTGACTTAACCTAACCTTAGATAATCTTAATGTTTGGAATGCCTAGTAAATATCTCATTTTAAATAATAAGTACCCTAAACAGTTACTTTACAAAGGAACCAGGCATTGTATGAACTAGGTAACTTGCCAGTCTAGAATTTTCTGCGCGTTTTATACTTAACCGTTCAGTTAATGTATGAAATGCGTACGTATTCTATGAAGTAACGGATCAACGCACTTAAGTAGTTAACGTATGCAAATGTATACGTGATTTTGATGTTTTATGTTTATCTTTGAAAGGGAACTGTTTCGAAAGAACAGTGTTTCACTTTACTTAGTACTGTTACATGAAAACGCTTAAACCTACTGACAAATGTCGCTTGGTGTGTAGTATTGTTTACCGTGTAACATACTGTTAGGAGAAGTGACCACAGTTGCAATGCTATTATGCAACCCAAGTTTATTCCGGGGATTTGGCTAAGCTCTGGCAACAACATGCCTTTTTCCGGGGACAGTCTTAACGTTCTGTTGTGCTTGGAATGTGGACTAATGAGTTTCGTTTCTTCAGAAGCCGATTCTTCTGCGAAAAGCGTTTCTATCCATACACGTGATGAAATATATTTCTGGGTAATTCCATTATATCTACAGATTTAAAACTAGAAGCCACGGGAGAGTTTGCTTGAGTAATTTTATATTATTTAATTTTAACATATTAATGTGTACAGAAGCGTTATCTACGTTTTAGGAAAACACGTTGTTGTCTGTGACGTTTCCCCCCATTTAAAACATTTTAGTCTTTAGCTAATACTGACGTCAGAGTTTATTCCCGGACCGAAGTCCACGTCAATATTTGCTGTTCGTCGTCTTGTAAATTGCTTGTCAAATGCATATGATGAAAGTGTACTAAGTAATACGTAATGCCAAACCTATTTTGAGCTCTGCAATGTTTGTGGGAAACATATTGATATTTGCCTGATAACTTTTGAGTCGCCTGTACGAAATTTAATTGAAATTAATATTAGTAGTTTTAGATACGAAGCCAGTTGGGGAGACGGATATCCTCCTTATTATGCGTCCACTTTATTTACTTCGGGCAAGGAAGGCAAAATAGACTGATATAAATTTTGTTCTGCGAATTTAAATCGGTTCTAGAAGAGTTACAATTTATCATAAGGCCTCAGTCGTCCTCGAGACGTTTAATCCTCGGTTCGCTTCAACGGTCGGCGAGACAGGTATTTTTTGCCTGGGGCCGAGATTACATTAAGAAGGATGCGAGAAAGTTCACTGGTCTTGAGCTTAGTCGTCCTTTTTTGAGGCCCAACTAAGACTCTCTTTTACTGCGTCTTTGAACGCCCGTGACGAAAACTTGGGAAGCAGGAAAATTTGGAATATACAGAGTAGGCTATTTTAAAGGGGCAGAAACTTAACTCGGTGTCGCGATCTGAGATTAGTAATATAAAATTGATTCGTGGCTTAATAATATTCAATTACCATGCAGTTGCTTGTCCTCAGAGAAGGCAGTCCTGACGAAATTCATGGTTTATGTTGTGTTTTTATATGGGAAATAAATTTTTAGCTCAGAAATGCAAACATGTCTTGCGAAACTCGTGAACCAAAAACATGTTCGTTAAATACTCATTTATAACGCGTCAGATGTGGAGTAATATCGTGAGAAATACGAGATAATTTTTTTCTAACTATAACGTAAGAATTTTCAATTTCGTATAAAAATTCGCGGCGTATGTGATGGTTGAGGAACACGGGAATACTAAAACGAATGGAATAAACAAGGAATTCGAGAAAGAAGAAGAATGAAAGGAAATATGGAGAAGCATAGAATGAAAAGCAATTGTGGTGAAATAGAACAGTGGAATGAAGAAATAAACGTAAAAGTTAATAAGGAAATATGCTAGTGGGTTAAAATCTGTGTCATGTCGGTTAATGGCGCCGTTACCTTTACCGACATGAACTCTTTTGAGACCCGTGTTTCGTTCTTTGTATGATTAATATCTCCCGATGCGGGCGATTGAATATTTATGAGGGTTTTTTTAAGGCCGATGGTCGGTCTCGCTAATTTTGATGGCGAGTGGACGGTAGACGCATATAGGCCTACGGGTATGTAAATAACTTTCACTGCTTCGGTCTTGACAAGTTTGTTGGCTTCCATCCTCGAGCGTCCTTCTGACTTCCTCATATGGAAAAGAATAATTACAAACATGTGAACGTCGTATTGTCTGATTCAATGCGCATGAAGTATGATCCATGTCATAGTCTGTAAAAGATGTTTGTGCACGTAGAATTTTCTTGGAATTAAGTTTGTTACATTCTGGCTTACTGAGATCAGTCCGTGGCCTTGTCTGAAGGTTTCTCTGTTTTATGGAACTTCCTACTGTACAATCATGGGTTTATAAATGTCCAGCGTATCTTAATTTGAAAGTTAAACATTTTGTTACGAACAGTTGATAGTATGTGAAGTCTTCCTGTGAGTTTTTTTTACAGTGTCTTTTAGTGTTGGTTAAACAAATTTTTTCCTGTTTTCATTTCGCGGTGTTGGCGAAAGCCATCCACGAAGACTGTTTAGACAAACCAGATTACTGAAGATTTAATTAAATTTAGATTATACGCAAATCAGCGTAAGGTACAAAGTAAAAGGTAAATATTTTTAACGTTTATTGTGGTTCTT